GGGCCGGTCAAGGCGGGCAGCGCGGAGTAGGTGGGCTGGGAGGACACACACCCGCGACCCCTGGGAGGTGCCCGCCGTCGTCTCGGCCGGAGGTGCGGGGGTTGGGCCGCGGCCGCCCCCGGGGACACACCCATCCAGGAGGGGCTGTCACGGCCCTGACCTGGCTTCTGAGGGGGGCGGAGGCCCGAGAAGCCCCCTGGAGGGATGGAGATGGCTTGGCGCCCCCGCGAGCTTGCTTAGTGACCTTGGGGGCCTTGCCTGGGTCCTCCCTCTGCAAATGGAGGCCCCGGTGGGCTGCTGTGCTGAGTGTTCTACCGCCGGTAGGCGGGTTGGGAAACTCATTTCTGGGGTTGGATGGGGTCTGGGCTGCCCCATGTGGCCGGAGAGGTGGGAGAGGGGCCGGCATTTGGTGGAGGACCCAGTGGGCAGGGGGAAGGGGAGGTGTGCAGGATCAGGTCCCTAGCTGTGCCTCTGTGGGGAGACCCTGGTACTGGGTTTGGTTCAACAAGTGTTGGCAGGCTTGGGGAGCTGGCCAGCAAGGTGAGGGGCTGCCCTCGGGCAGCAGGGTTGGCCCCGTGGATACACCTGCACGAGGAGCAAACCCAGGAGAGCAGGGGAGCCCAAATCCGTGGACAAACAGTGAGGATCCTGGTAGTCAGGGAAGGAAGGTTTCTGGACGGAGATGAAAGCCTGGAAGGCCTTGAGTAACAGGTGTGGTCAGTGAGGCCACCAGACAGAAGGAAGGGGCCTAGATCCACCTGCACCCACACATTTCTTCATTTCTCTATGTAGGTTCCCTGGATATGGGACTTCAGTGCAGAGTTGCTAAAAGTTTTCTAAGTTTGCCTCTTTCTGTCTGTGTGGTCCTTCTCCCGGAGGCAGGCATCTCCTTAACTGCCCCTCCCTGCCCCCCTCGCCCGGTGCCCCATTCTAAATTCCGCAGCACTATATCCTAGGGTGCAGCCCCGCCCCAGCCCCCATGGAAATAATGGTCTGGGATGACCTGAAGGGTTATCATGATCAGGTTGCTTACCTGACTTTCTGTGGCATCCTGAGCTGGATGCCAGAAGTGAGTTTCTGGTAGGCTGGCAGGCTGGAAAGAAGAAAGGAGGGTCTGGGGGTATGCCCAGCACACATCTATCCTGGGGAGGCAGAAGGGGCATCTGCCACCCATGTTACTGAGGCCCGTTTCTCAGAACCATTCTGTTCTGGATGCTGGGTCAGGGTTTATGGGACGTCTGGCTGTGCTAGGCCCCATCCCATCTGCAGGGTGACTGACCACCTCCACGACTGCTGGGTCTTGCCCTCCTCTGGTCAGCAGCAGGTGCACCTCTTGGGAGAAGGGACCTCAGGTCGTAACCTCTTTAGAGGCAGAGATTCTCCAGTGGGTTCTAGTCTGAAGGACCCTCAACAGCAGTCATCGTGTTCTGGAACATGACAGTGGGGCCAGAATACTGAGTTTTGAAAATCTCACATTCATCACATTGACCGCAGGCTTCAGAGTCATTTTATTCTTTCTTCTTCTTTTTTTTTTTTTTAATATTTATTTCTATTTGGCTGCACAGGGTCTTAGTTGTGGCACACGGGATGCAGCATGTGGGATCTAGTTCGCCGACCAGGGATTGAACCCAGGCCCCCTGCACTGGGAGCGTGGAGTCTTAACCACTGGACCGCCAGGGAAGTCCCTAGAGTCATTTTATCGATAAATATTTGAGTGCTCACTCTGTGTCTGGCACAAGGAGATTCAGAGATGAACAAAGGGAACTTCTGCCTTCTTGGAGTTGAGTGTGTATTTGGGGAGACAGGCAATAAGCAGACAGTTCTGTAAGTATATTAAACTGTGGGTGCTGGGCTTCCCTGGTGGCGCAGTGGTTGAGAGTCCGCCTGCCGATGCAGGGGACGCGGGTTCGTGACCCGGTCCGGGAGGATCCCCCGTGCCGCGGAGCGGCTGGGCCCGTGAGCCATGGCCGCTGAGCCTGCGCGTCCGGAGCCTGTGCTCCGCAACGGGAGAGGCCACGGCAGTGAGAGGCCCGCGTACCGCAAAAAAAAAAAAAAAGAAAAAAGAAATTGTGGGTGCTAAGAGGGCAGAGTCCAGGGAACTGTGTGTGTCTTAGGGGCGCAGGGGGCTACCTCCGGAGGATCAGTGAAGAAGAGGGGAGGACAGTGCCAGGGAGTGGGACTGGCATGTGCAAAACTCCTGAGGTGCAACAAGCATGGGTCCACTTTATTCCCAAGCCTCTGGTCCTCGGATGGGGGCCTGGCCTGCAGGAGTCTGCTCTGCAAGGGGGCCAGGCAGGATGGGCTCTGCCGGGCTTGGCACGGCATCTGGGCTCAGCCTGAATTTGCAGCCCCATTGTCCTGTGTGGCCTGACATCTCAGGCTCCTCCGGGGTTTGTGCTCTCTTCCCGGGGTTCTGGGGTCGCTGTATTTGTGGTGGGCTTGGCTTAGTTTGGAAGTGGCTCTAGTCAGATCTGAGAGACTGGTGGGGCCATGCTGGCTGATGGACCTGTTCTTAGGTTTGCACTCAAAAAGGAGCCACAGAAACTGGCTCGTCAAAACCCATGACTCTTGTCTTGTCCTGGCACTCCACTGGGGCTGGTGAGGAATGCGCAGCTGGGAGGGAGGAGTGGCCCCAGGGCCCGCGGTATCCCATCCCTCTTGGGTCCACAGCCCCGGGCTCGCGTGCTATGAGGCGGTGTGGCTGCATCTCCCAAGTGCCTGGGCTGAGCCATCTCCAACATGGATGCGAGAGGTGGATGCTGTGAGCCACTGGGGCTTTCATGATTAAACACTTAGGATTCTCTGATCCCCAAACGTGAAGAGGTGTCACAGGGCATTTTTTTTCACCTTTGCTGGTCTAGCGATGAACCAAATTCCTGATCAGCCGAGCTTTTTCCAGATGCCCTGGATGGAGCGAGGGGTGAGGGGGGCACAGGGGTAATTGCCTGCTCAGGGCCTCTTCTCTGCCGCCTCCCACAGGAAGGAGCCTGACCTGCTGGCTTGGTAGAGTGGGCCCTCCCGGCAGGGTGGTCTTACCTTCCCCCGCCCGTCACACTGCGCTGGGGTTCCTGGCCCACCCATGCTCAGACCTCGGCTCCCACACTCCCTGCCGCCGAGTTCGTGCTCAAGTTCATGCACGTTCAGAGCTGGGCGAGCATCTCCTCCGCCCCCATATATCAGGTGCACTGTTCCTTATGGGCTGTGTGCACCCGTTTCAGCTAAATGCAGGCTGGGCCACCCTCGGGCGTGTTGCCTGGACTTGATGCTTCCATGTTCTTGAGGATAAAAACCTGGGATTAATCCCTGGCTTACTCCAGGAAAGCATGGCAAGTTCACACCAGGCCTGTCATTGCCTGCAAGAAAGAGCTGAGGCCGCCTAACGGGGCTCACGGTGAGGGGCTCTTTGGCAGCTTTTCTGTTACAGAATCTAGGTTGTGCCACATGAGATTGTGGAAAGAGCTCCAGTCGTGCCTCAGCTCCGGTGCTGTTACTGTATCGCGGGGCAAACCAACCCCACCTCCGTCAGAGGGCTGCGTGCCGGGCGGCTGGTCACTGTCGCCTGTCTGTGTTGCAGGCCGAGCTGAGGCTCCCTTCCGGAGACGATGGCGGCCCTTCACACGCCTCCAGACTCCCCAGCCGCCCAGCGGGAGAGGGCGGAGGACGGCTCGGAATGTGATCCTGATCAGGAGGAGGAAAAGGGGGAAGAGGAGGGGGAGCTGGCGAAGGAGGAGGCGGCGGTGGTGGAGGCCGAGGCCGCAGAGGCCGTGGCGGAGGTGGCAGAGGAGCTGGAGGCCGACAGGGTGCAGGCCGGGCTGGGGCGGCAGGCGGAGGACGCCAACGCGGAGGCGGTGGTGGCAGAAGAGCAGAGTCCGGCGTCGGGGACCCAGGAGCGCTTTAGCTGTGGTGGGGATGCCGAGTCCCCAGGTCTTCAGGAAAAGGGTAAGAAAAAGGAGCTAGTCTTCGAAGAGGAAGTTAGGGGGCCTTGGGTGGGCAGGCCGGGAAGAGCTCTTTGACCCGACGGGGTGCAGTTGGAGTGGCAGGGCCCAGGGTTTTTTCTTTTTTAAAAAATTTTATTTATTTCATTGATTTATTTTTATTTTTGGCTGCATTGGGTCTTCGTTGCTGTGCGCGGGCTTTCTCTAGTTGCGGCGAGCAGGGGCTGCTCTTCGTTGCGGTGCGTGGGCTTCTCATTGCTGTGGCTTCTCTTGTTGCAGAGCACAGGCTCTAGGCACGTGAGTTTCAGTAGTTGGGGCACACAGGCTCAGTAGTTGTGGCTCACGGGCTTAGTTGCTCCGTGGCATGTGGGCTTCCCGGACCAGGGCTCGAACCCGTGTCCCCTGCATTGGCAGGTGGATTCTTAACCACTGCGCCACCAGGGAAGCCCAGGGCCCAGGTTTTGAAAAGGGGGAGCGGCCAGGAGCTGCTGACCCTGGTAGCTGGATGGACAGACGTCGGCCAGGGCAGTGAGGCCTGATGCTAAAGGCTGGACCCCAAGAGGTCTCTCCCCCCAGCCCTGCAGGCATCCCGGGCTCCAGCCATGTCGAGGGGTGAGGACCTGGAGCAGGACGAGGATGAGGACGAGGACGAGGACGAAGACAAGGACGAGGACGGTTCCCTGGCATCTGGGTCTCAGGTGAGCTGCCCCTTTATTTGGGGCTCAGTTGACCAGGCTGGGTTTCCCCAGGGAGGTTGGCACCCGCTGTCCTGGAGACCCCTGTTGGCAGGGCAGTGGCACTGTGGTCCTCAGGCTGAGCGCAGGGTGTGGGCCAGGACAGGGCTGCAGGAAGCAGCTGGGAGTCTCCAGCCCCAAACCTGTGGGATATGGTTCCGCTCTCCTGGGGCCTGACCTTCCCCAGGCCATTGGAATGTCTTGACCATGTTGCCCACCACCAACTCTCCTGCAGCCTGCACAGTTGCGTCAGCCCTGGCTCTCCCCCGGGGTCAAGCTGTGCCCTTACCTGGAGTGCCTGTCACCTGTCCGGGCTCTGGTTTCCTACTGAGCCCAGTTAGATTGGGCGCCAGTGCCCACACTCAGTTTAGTTGGTGCCACTTGTCCACCAAGGCATGGGCCCTCACACCACTGATGTGACCACTGGCTTGAGGCAGACAGTGGAGTAGCGGGGGGTGAGGTGCCCGTGCAGCACGTACCTGGGGTCTTGGGCTTCCTTGTCTCTGCACTTCAGTGTGAGTCTGGGCTCTGCCCCATCTGAGCCGAGCAGTCTGGTCTCTGGCTGGGAATGGGGTTCTTGCCTCCCGGGGCTGTGACAGGCCTGCAAGCCCCTCGTTCCGTCAGGTGTTTGTAGACTTGCAGCTGCCGGGCTGCTGGGCTGTGTCCCCGTGACCTCCACATTGCAGGGTCAGCTCAGTGTCCACTGAAGTGACCTCCTGTCCTCTCTCGTGGGACGCCCCCGCCTCTCGCCAGGGCAGTGTAGGGCAGCGGCCAGGCTTCTTTGTTTTCCAGGGGCTGGTGGCCTTTGAAGACGTGGCTGTGTACTTCTCGCTGGAGGAGTGGGAAAGGCTGGATGCAGACCAGCGGGAGCTCTACCAGGAAGTCATGCAGGAAAACTATGGGATTCTGGTATCCTTGGGTGAGCAGAGCCTTTCGTCCCCAAGAAGCATCCTGGTGTGAGGCTGCCAGGGCTTAGCTGTCTGAGAGGGTGGTTTCTGGAGCCCCGGGGTCTTGGAGAAGGAGCTGCTGGAGCCAGCCCGCCTCCCAGGGAAGCCCTAGGGACCAGCCTGGCTTCTGGGCCGGAGCGTGTCTTGGGGGGTGCCCACTATGGCCCAGCAGCGCCATGACCCAGGTGGACATGTTCTGGGGAGCTGCAGTGCTGCTCTGGTCTCTGTGCTGTACACTCCCCAGAGGCCTCAAGGGGTGAGGAGTCAGGTGACGGACGAGAAGGGCAGGCACCCTGCAGATGGTAGTGTGTGGAGGGGGCTGGACAGGGGAGCTGGGGGTCAGGGCAGGGATCCAGAGAGAAGGGAGTGTGGGATTTCCCAGCGGAGGCGGGGAGGAGGGAAGGCTGGTCCTGGAAAGGCCGGAGAGAGGAGCCAGTGGTGGCAGTGCTGTGTGGGTGAGGGTGGCGCCTGCAGGTGTGGCCCTGCAGCTGCTGTCTGTTTTTTCCGGGGCAGGATACCCAATCCCCAAGCCGGATCTGATCTTCCGGCTGGAGCAAGGAGAGGAGCCTTGGGTCCCGGATAGCCCCCGTCCTGAGGAGGGAGACATCGTCACCGGTGTCTACACAGGTGAGCGTGACTCAGGGTCTCGCGGGTTTCACCGACTTCGGCCTGTGCCTTCGCTCTCCACTGCGGCCCCAGGGAGCCGCCTTGGAGCTGCTGCTCTGCACTCTGGGGGGGGCCTCTGTGGGGACACAGTGGCACTGGGGGCTCACCTCTACCTTCGTGGGTTGGCTCCTTCTGGTTCTGGTCTGCAGAGGCCCAAAGGCTGGGGAGTCTTTAGAGAACCTAGATGTTCCTGTTACGAACCTTTAACAACGATGCCCTGTCCCTGCCTTGAGCCTCTGATTGTTTTTGTGTGTGTGAGGGTCAGTTGTCACATTACCAGCTCAGAGGGGCCAGGTGAGGAACAGACCGTTGCCCTGAAGTGCTGGAGCTGGCCTTCCGGCTCCCAGGATTGAACGGCTTCCCTACCCATTTGGCCATCTCCTCTCCCTGGGAAGCCCAGGGTCAGGGCCTGGGCTGGCAGCCCTGGACCTTCCAGAGAGGAGATTTTGGAGAGAGACATACAGGAAGCGTTCAGGGTGTCGGATTTCTCTGAGACCTTGGACCTGGCTCTGGCCCTGTTCCTCAAACTTTCTGGGCCTCATTTTTATTCATCTGGAGAATAAAGAGTTGAACAAAACCCACAGTTTCCCACCCGAGGCCATCGGACCACTGGTTCTGTGGAGGTGCTCCGTGGAGGTTTGTGAGCTGTTCCCCGTGTGTCAGAGGTTCAGCGGAGGCCCTTGCACGGTGTGTGTGTTTGGCTTTGGTCTCGGGTGATGCCAGCCTAGTGCGGGGCTCTGGATGTCTCATGCCACTCACGTGCTTGGGTAGACTGGGAGCAGCTTGTAGAGGTTTTAAAATAAAATACAGAAAAACGTAGACGGTGCTGTGCCTACACGTGTCCTCTTCAGAGTGTTTGCCTGTATACTTTCTCTCCTCGTGACAGCGCTGTGAAGCAGCGGGGGAGGGGTGATTGGACCCATTTTACAGTCAAGGAAATTGACTTTGGAAGTTAGTGATTAAGTCACTCGCCCACAGTGGGTTGAGGCCTCGGGCCTTACTGTGCACTGTGTTTCGGGGTGGCCTTCCTGCCCTAGGTCTCCATATTCTCTGGGACCCTCTTGGAATGTCTCCTGGCCTTCAGAATCAGGAGGGCTCTGGCTGGCAAAAAATGTTGCTGCTGCTTCCAGGCTGAGACTGGGATGTAGGTGATGTTTGTCGGAGGGTCTAATGGGGGGTGTGCCCTGTTTCTGGGCACAGATCTGAAAAGCCACCTGGAGAGGAAGGGGCTGTAAGGCCTCCACTGGCCAGTCTCTTCACACATGGTCTGGATGTGCCCCTGTTCTCCATGCTTCTTGGAGGGTCCTGGGGTGGATCCTTTTGCAGGCTCGAGCCTGGGTGGTCCCCACAATGTGCTCTGTGAACCTAGCTGGGGTTTGGCAGCTTGCAGAAGGGGCAGGCTCGCTGGGCCAGCGCCTCCGCCTTCCCCTGTGGAGCCAAGGTGGGTGCAGGATGCAGGCACAGTCTTCCACACGTCATCTGTCTCCCGGGAGGGGCTGTGGTAGCGAAGGCTGGGGTCACCTCGGGCAGAGCGAATCCATCTGAGGTCTCCCCTCTTAACTGTCACTGTAGCCTCTCTGCCAAGTGCCTCCCTCCCCTTTTTCCCCCGCGCTCATTTCTGTGCAGCTGAGCCAGTTGAGAGTTGCGAATTGCCGGGTCTGGGCAGGACAGCCGGTCCTGAGCCCGGCAGAGTTTCTGTATTTCTAGATCATAGTCTTGAAAAACACAGCATATTCATCTCTTGTGCTTCTTAACAAGTTGGGCCACACATAAAGTTTGGACTCTGGCCAAACGTGCCCACTCAGGTGCCCCGGCGCCTCTGAGTGCTGAATTAAAGCCTCCTTGCTCTGGCTCCCCTCGACCACCACCTCCCGCTCCCTGGTCCTCACCCATTACCTGCCACCTCTCTCCTCACCCGGCTGAGATAGTATGCTCCCCCATTCCTTACAAATGCCCAGTGTAGTCACCTGGCAGATCCCTGCCCACGGCTGAACCTTATTTCCTGCGGCTGAGGATGTCCTCGTCACCTTGGCCTGGTGCTCTGGCCTTATTTCCTCGTCGCATGAGCTTTTCTGCTCTGCAGGATGGACCCCACGTGCCCCTGGTCCCTCTGCTGCCTCTGGCTGCTTCCCCACCTGCCACTGCATGTCTGCAAGCCCCAGGACAGCCCTGTGTCCTCTTCTCTCCTCTCTCCAGGTGACCCCAGCTGGGGCCAGGGCTTAAGTGCTGCCCACCTGCCCATTCTCAGCCTCTCTCTCCAGCTCTGACCTTGTCTGTCCCACCGCCTGCTTGACATCTCCACTTGGGTGTCTGAGGGCATCTCACAGTGAGCTAGATCTGAGTGGCGCCATCTGCTACCCCGGGGCCTCCTGCAGCGCCGCGGGCATGTGGCCACGGGCGTCCCTGAGCTGCTGGCTGCCCCCCACCCCTAGCCTTCCCTGGACACTCGGCACAATATCTGGGATCCTCTGCGGCCTGGGGGCCTGCACCCCACACACACCCGTAGCTCTTCAGGCTCAACTCCACCGACAGCCTTTCTCTTCAAGCTCTCACCTGCCTCGGGGCTTTGTACCTGCTGTTTTCTCTGCCTGGAGGGACCTTCGTGTGGCTGGCTCAGTGTGTAGGTCCCACTTGGGTCGTGTGTGTCCTCTGACCACCTTGATGTCGGGAACCCCCCATGTCACTCCAGGACGTTCCCTGCACCCGCAGCCCTCGGCGAGGCCTGGGGTGGCCGTGCCCAGGTGCCTGCCTCGTTTGCTCCAGCAGACTCTGTGAGTGCGCACTGTGTTTTGTTCGCATCTGTGCCATCTCCACAGTGCTTGGCTGATGACCCCGCTCCCTGACTGCTGTTCCTGCCCCTCGTGTGAAAGCGAAAGATAGCAGAGCAGTATGATAGGATGGAACCGGCTTAAACATTACACAGGAAAGGAGAGAGAGAAAGTTTAAAAGCAGTCAGGTGAAAGCACACCAAAATGAATCTGATGGTTGGTGAGCGCGATCAGTGGTTCTGGAGAGGTGCTCAGGGGAGGACCCCCTCCTGGAAGATGTGTCAGCCTGAGGACCCTGCAGCGGGGAGGATAGATCCATCACAGAAGCCCAGCCCTGCCGGGAGCCACCACCTCCCGGGCGACCGGACTCCGGCTCAGAGGGAAGGAGGGGCTACTGATGGCAGCCGTATGGGGAGGAAGGAGCCCACCTGCAGCTTTGGCCACCCCGTTGTCCACGCCCTGCCTTTGTGCCTGGGGGCGGGGCTCTCCCCGAGCCCACCCTGAGTCTCCGTCTGGCCGGAGGGTCAGGAGCAGGTGCTGGCCTCACACACACGACTGCCTTCTGAGCTGTGTGCCGCGGCTGGGTCCCTCGGGGAGGGGTTAGAGCAGACCTGCAGCTGACTCACCGTGAGGCCAGGCCTGGGGACAGGTCTCGGGGAGGGGACAGGACAGGGGCAGAGGGTGCTTGGGGTGGGAGTCATAGAAACCCTCGGCTTGGTTCTTGGGGCAGAGCAAGTGTCAGGCCACCTCCCAGCAGCTCAGGGAGCAGATGCGCCAGGCAGGTGGCCTCGGGGCCTCCTCCCCGAGGCCGTTTATTCGTGCCTGAATAAGGCACTAATCGGGGGCGCCTTGGGCGTCTGCTCACAAGGCCACTGGTCGGCCTCCGCGAGTGTCATCAGGCTCCGAGTGCGGGCCCTGGCCTAGCTAATCCTCACCCAGTGTCAGAGTCCTTAGGGGCAGACGTCTCAGGGAGATGAAGTGCCAAGTTCCCCTCCCCAGGGTCCACTTGTCCACTCTCCCCCTGTGGGTTCTGGAAGAGGCAGCTGTGCTTGACCTTCTGGGCCACTCTTGGGAAAGACCCTCCCCCCGCCACCTTGTCAGAGCATCTCCTCTGCCTCGGCCCCAGTCTCACGAGTAGACCTGACAGGTCCTGACTTGGAGCCAAAATAGGCTTGCATCCGGGGTGCTAGCAAATCCCCTGGGAACCCTGTCCCCACTGCAGCCAGGGGTAACCCCGACAATGGACACCCCCGCCTGGGGGCCCAGACCTCCAGATCCTGGGCCACTTTGGCGGCAGAAGATGAGAACAGAGCCCGGCTTGGACCCCTCTGGTGGCCCTACTGCTTCCCAGAGATCTCGTCTCGGGGCCGCAGCCAGGGAGCTGGATGCCCTTCTTGTCCTTTACTCGGTGGCATTGGTGGCCTCTACCAACTTGCCTTATGTTTAATATTTTCTCATTTCTGGACAAGCGGCCATGCCAGCTCCAGAGCCAGGGATGAGGTCAGGTCCCCTCCTAGGATCAGCCCCCTCTGCAGAGCGCAGCATTGTTTGATGTTTGGGGTGGGGGCAGGGCAAAGGATCACCTCCCCAAGTGGGGGGCTTTGCTACTCTCAGACCCCAAGGAAGAGGTGTTGTGGATGAGTCATTGGGACCTAGCCTGTTCCCCGGCTCTGAGTAGCTGAGGCTGCCAGCTGGCGGGCCCTCGTTTGGCCTGGGTGTCCACTTCTGTCCAGCACGTGCCACTGACCCTTGGCTGGGTCCTGGGATGCATTCATCCCACCAAGACATTGTACTTGTTCCCCAGCTTGAGCCCCTGCCTTAGGGACTCCAGTTAAAACTCCTCCAGACACTCACCAGAGTCTTAGGGAAAAGCCTTTCTGAGACTCACTGGAAGAATTTCCAGCTAATCTGACCATGGGCCCAAACCGCCCGTCCCTGCACCAGCTCCCCTTAGGGGTGCTCCAGCCTTCACAGTGAGGAGCTGGGCCTTTTCCGTGCTGTTCAGCCACTTCTCATCCCTCACTCACCGTGGGTGGCAGTTGGAGATGAACTCAGCTTAGTAACAGGAAACCACTGTCCTTTATTTAAAGCTTATTTTTACTATAATAGTATATTATTACTAACTACAGAAAACTTAGAAAGTATTGCAAAGCATGAAAAACTAAAATAACCCGTTTTTGTATCCCTTTGTACATGTTTTCTTCAGAGAAGAAATCATGTCCATGCAGTTCTGTGTCTGGCTTTATGTTACTCAGCACTGTGCTGTGTTTTCCCATGTGATTTATCACCATATGTTTGGGATGCCATATAGAACACAGGACCAGGGCCGAGTCAGGACGGGCATCCCTCCTGGGCCCCGACCCTTCCTCGGGGACAGGACTCAGTGACGAAGGCCCACCCAGTCAGGTGATGGCTAACACCAGCCACAGCCTTGGCAGAGGACCCGGGAGTGGTGGGAAAGGGGATTCCTACCTCTGTGGGGGAGTTTGAACCTTCCAGGTACTGGAATCGTGAGGTGGACTTCACTGTACGTGGCCACGGTAGACACACACGGGGCAAGGTGTACCAGAGGAAGTTGGCACGCAGGTTCTCTGGAACACCTGGGCTGCCGTGGACGAGGCCTTTTGTTTCTGTTTGTTGTGTGACTTAGTGCCTGCTTTGTAAATATCAGACTGGCCAAAAAGTTCGTTTGGGTTTTTCCATGACGCCCTATGGAAAAACACGAATGAACTTTTTGGCCAGCCCAATACTAGTACCCTCCTGGGTGTATCATGATGGCAGGCACATCACTCTTTTATAAACCGAATCCCTATCCTTACTCTGCACTGAAGGGAGCGGTCAGGGCGCTGCTTGGTGGAGGAGGGATGGAATTGCAGGACCCCAAGGCGGGTCCTTAGCTTTCTGTGATGGGAAGATGTTTGCAGCTCACCCAGTCTTGGTCAATTTGGGACCCTTTCCCAAGTGCAGAACCGCTCAGAAAGCCAAGCTTCAGAGAAGCTTAGCGGGGAGGCTGGGCTGTGCCTGCACAGTTGCTGGAGCCTTCTAGGGTGAGTGCAGAGAGCTGGGGCCTACAGGCCCCTCTAGGTCTCCTTGGCCCAGGGCAGCCTTTCCTGGCTGTGCTCTGGGGGTGGGAGGGAAAGCCCTGGATGCTGGCCAGCCTGAGACTGGTGGAGAGATCCAGAGGAGGGATGCTAAGCAAAGCTTAGGTGTTACAAAGGCAGGTCCTCAGTGGCCGTGCTGGTGCTGGAGTCTTGGCTGCCTTGGGCCAAGCAGGCAGGGGTGTGTGTGTGTGTGTGTGTTTGTGTGTGTGTGTATGTGTGTGTGTGTGTTAGTTCTCCAGGATGGACCCCTGTTTTGGGCTTGACCCCTGGTCTCACAGGAACCCATAGGCAAGGTTACCGAATTCGTAGCTGTCCCTATTCTCAGCAGGGTGGCAAGCTGAAGGGAGCTGGAGGTCTGGAAAAGGGATTAGTTGAGGCCATTTGAGGAGAGTCCTCGAGGTGAGAGAACCCCAGCCTCCCTGGGACACCCGCGTGTGCATTTCTCCTGTCTGCACAGTTCCTCGTAACTCAGGGAAGAGGTGTGCGCCATCTCTCACTCCCGTGGAACAGAGGCGCCCTGACCCTGGGCTCCGTGCTCCGAGAGCCCGGGGTCCCGCAGAAATCGCTCCTTACAGGAGCAGGAGTCTGTAAGCGGCTTCTGTCACGGCCTCTTCTCACCTCTCTCTCCTGGCCTTCCCTTGTCGCCTTCAGGGGCCTGGTTCTGGACCGACGACATAGAGGACCACGAGGAGGAGGACGACGAGGACTTCCTGGCAGAGGTGGCCGAGGAGGAGAATGAGCCCCCAGGGCTGTGGTCCGCGGCCTACGGCGTGGGGGACGTGCCTGGGACCTGGGGCCCCGACGACTCGGATTCGGCGCAGACTCCAGAGGGGTGGGGTCTTGACCCCGGCGGCCTCGGGGTCCTGGCCGAGGGGTCCGAGGCGAAGGCCTTTCTGCAGGGCCGGGAGCCGGGCGCGAGCCTGCTGGCGCCCTGGGCGTTCCCGGCCGCGGTGGCCGCTCCAGTTGGGCGGCCGGAGACGACGTGTGACGTGTGCGGTAAAGTGTTCCCGCACCGGTCCCGGCTGGCCAAGCACCAGCGCTACCACGCGGCCGTCAAGCCCTTCGGCTGTGATGAGTGCGGCAAGGGCTTCGTGTACCGCTCGCACCTGGCCATCCATCAGCGCACCCACACCGGCGAGAAGCCCTTCCCGTGTCCGGACTGTGGCAAGCGCTTCGTGTACAAGTCGCACCTGGTCACGCACCGGCGCATCCACACGGGCGAGCGGCCCTACCGCTGCGCCTTCTGCGGCGCGGGCTTCGGGCGCCGCTCCTACCTGGTCACGCACCAGCGCACGCACACCGGCGAGCGGCCCTACCCCTGCCCGCACTGCGGCCGCAGCTTCAGCCAGAGCTCGGCGCTCGCGCGGCACCAGGCCGTGCACACGGCCGACCGGCCTCACTGCTGCCCCGACTGCGGCCAGGCCTTCCGCCTCCGCGCCGACTTCCAGCGCCATCGACGGGGCGGCGGCTGCGCGGAGCCCGGTGGCGACGGCCCTCGGCGCGAGCCCTGTGAGACTGGGCCCTCGGCGGGGCCCGAGGAGGCCGAAGCCGGGCCCGAGGGTCCTGAGGTCGACGAAGCAGACGGAGAGGCCGAGGCGAGAGAGGCGGCGATGGAGGCGCCCACCCCGGGGAGAAAGGATGACCCCGAGCCGGACAGGCGGTTTCTGGGGCTGGGCAACGGCCTGGGGGAGGGCGAAGGCCCTTCCTCGCACCCGCTCGGCTTCCACTTGACCGTGCACCCCAAGTCTTGGCTCCACCCGGATGGCTTTCCGATCCTGGGCCTCCCGGACTTCGCGGAGCGGCTGTCGACCGACGGGCGCCCCCTGTCCGGACCCCTGGGGGGCCGGCTCTCCCTGGTAGAAGGCGCGGGGCTGGCCTGCGACCCTTTCGGCGGCGGTGCTGGGCCTGGGGGCGGCGGTGGCCTGCGTGCGTTCGGGCCTGCAGTCGGGGGGTTGCTGGCGGAGCCTGCGCCTGCCGCACTGGCCGAGGAGGAGAGCCCGTGGATATGCTCCGACTGCGGCAAGACGTTCGGGCGCCGCGCGGCGCTGGCCAAGCACCAGCGCTACCACGCGGGCGAGCGGCCGCACCGCTGCGCCGACTGTGGCAAGAGCTTCGTGTACGGCTCGCACCTGGCGCGCCACCGCCGCACGCACACGGGCGAGCGGCCCTTCCCGTGCCCCGAGTGCGGTGCGCGCTTCGCCCGCGGCTCGCACCTGGCGGCGCACGTGCGTGGCCACACGGGCGAGAAGCCCTTTGTGTGCGGCGTGTGTGGCGCGGGCTTCAGCCGGCGCGCGCACCTGACGGCGCACGGGCGCGCGCACACGGGCGAGCGGCCCTACGCGTGCGGCGAGTGCGGCCGCCGCTTCGGGCAGAGCGCGGCGCTGACGCGACACCAGTGGGCGCACGCCGAGGAGAAGCCACACCGCTGTCCCGACTGCGGCAAGGGCTTCGGCCACAGCTCGGACTTCAAGCGGCATCGGCGCACGCACACGGGCGAGAAGCCCTTCCGCTGCACCGACTGCGGCCGCGGCTTCGCGCAGCGCTCCAACCTGGCCAAGCACCGGCGCGGCCACACGGGCGAACGGCCCTTCCCGTGCCCCGAGTGCGGCAAGCGGTTTTCGCAGCGCTCGGTGCTCGTGACACACCAGCGCACGCACACGGGCGAGCGGCCCTACGCCTGCGCCAGCTGCGGCCGCCGCTTCTCGCAGAGCTCGCATCTGCTCACCCACATGAAGACGCACCGCGGCACGGCGGGCGCGCCTGGCCAGACGCCGGCCGCCCCCGCGCCCAAGGCCGAGGCACCAGCTAAGGGGCTGCAGAGCGCGGGCGCAGGGACCGGGCCCGGGGAGCGCGGCAGCACCCTGCTGGAGTTCGCAGGCGGAACGAGCTTCGGCTCCGAGCCGACGGCCGCGTTCGCGGGGCCCTCGGGCGCCTACGAGGAGAGCATCATGTGAGGGCCCCAGGCCGACGGAGGCGCAGCCCGCTAGGCCACCGGCACCTTGCGGCTCGAGCGCCGGCCGCAGCGCGCCGGCCCCTTGCTCTTCTGGCCTCAGGGAGCTGAGGGTCCGAGTCCTGGTGCGGTGCCTTTCCCTCAGCCCCGGTGCAGCGCCCCCCGGCCTCGGGCTTCCCTCCTGCCCGGCCCCAGAGAAGCGGCCGCCGAGCTCAGATGGCCGTACGGGGGGCGCAGGGGGAGAGGAGAGCTGCGCGCGGAGCAGATGGGGACAGGGGGCGGTCACCCCGACAGGAGACTGCGACATCACTGGATCGGTGCGGTGAGGCCAAGCGGTAGGGATGGCAGGCGAGGTGTTATTTATTTTACTCGGATTCCGATATGGGTGGCCCGGGGGACAGGTGGTTTGTGAGTTAGTAACTGGGTTTTACAGCGAGGGAGGGGAAGCCCTTGCATCGAGGGAGGCTGGGGTGGTCGAGGGCAGAGCACATGGCTACTCCACCGGGTTTGGCTGATGACTTCGTCCAGTTCCTCAGCGGCAGACTGGAGGGACCTTCTGGGCATTCGAGTACGTCCAGAAAGTTTTGAGGACTGTGCGCGTGGCGAGGGGAAGCCTCGTGGGTTTTCAAAGGACGGTGTTCCTCCCTAATCCGGGGTCGGGGGTGAAGTGGAGATGCACCTGGGAAAACTTTTATTCTGTCGACTGTGGATATTTATTTCCATGGCTTGTATGGCCCGAAGAACCTGGGAGGAGGAGAAAAAGCCAGAAACCAAATTGTGGCCCCAGGCATATGGGTTGCAGGTGTTCGCAGGGTCCCCAGGGAGTTTGAAGCCTTATTCCCCAGAGTCGCTCGCTGCCTTCAACCCACTTGAGCACCGAGAGCAGCCCGGCCGTGTGGGGTGTTAGTTTCAGCCTCCCCTCTGAGTCCTTCGATACTGTCGCCTGGGAACGCTGGAGGCGGCATACTCGGAGATCCTCTGGGAGCCCAGCAGCCAGGGACACCAGCCGTTGGCTCCCTGGCTGCCACCTCTCCCTGAGTGGGTGGACACACGGGGCCCTGCTCTTGTGAGCCTGCCGCTCATTTAGGTTTAATAGACAAGTGTAAAGTGACAGAGGTTGGTCGTAGGATTGTTTCTTACCTCCCAGGATTAGGGCCTTATGACCACCTCGGGTCCGTTTAACTCTGCTTCTGTCATTATTCTACACTAGAAGCATGTGGTGTTTCTGGTTAGGTTCCTATCTCACAGAGGGGGCAGTGAGTGGAGGCACCGTGGGCCGGGCTGTCTGCTCGGGGGTGGTACACCTCTGGGGGTTTGGACCTGAGCCCGTGGCTCAGTGACTGGCCAACTGTCCAGCTATGCAAGGCCTGCAGCCGGCCAGCACCACACCTTCCGGGCTGGGCTCTTTCGAGCCACCGGGTCACCTTCAAGACATCCGCCCCCTTTAATGCTTTTGGGGCCAGTGTGAATGGGGCCAGAAAACTGAAATTTTGAAGCAGCCGCATTCCCTTTTAGACCTAGTTCCTTCTGTTTTAGCATAGACATGGCCCTGGGGCCTGAGAGCCAGCACCCGGGCGCTAGAGCCTGGGGCGGGCGGGAAGGGGCCCTGGACGGTGGTGGTAAGAATGGGCCTGGCTGGGTGAGGGCGGGGGTGGGCGGGGTGCTGAGGAGGACAGGGGTTCCCGCAGAGGCGCCGGCAGCGCTGGGCGGTGCCGCCTGTCCCTGGGCTCTCTCTCCCAGCTGCGAGAAGGAGCCTCAGGAAGGGCCCAGGGCAAGCTGCGCCAGCCCCGTGGGACCGAGGGCCGGTCTGCGCCCGTCCCGCCTGGCACAGCCCTGAGTACCCACCTTCGGTGCCCCTCCTGAGCCCAAGCCGCCCCGCAGCTGTCAGCAGGAGGACCTAGCTTTAATAAAGAGTGGACAAACGAGCTTTGTGACTGGATTCCGTGTTGTTGCCGCTCCTCAGGGACCTCAGGGAGGCCCTGCAAGGCGTCAGGCCCACCTTGTTCCTGCAAACGATCTTTAGAAGTTTCTCTTCTTAGAAACTAGAATTGGCCTGTGAGGAGTCAGCCCAAGAGAGCTTTGGCCCCTGCCACCTGTGTCCACTGTGTCTTCCCGGGAGTCCCCAGTGGGCCCGCACACTGCCACCTGCTTCTTGTAATATGCACACCTATATCGGGACATTGATGTGTGGAGGATTGTTTTAGCCAGGTCCCCTTCCTGGTGGTCCAGACCCCTGTTCTGAGGCCCCAAAGCCACATGGGTTTATCCAGGCTCACCTGCTCTGTGCCAGGGCAGAGCACCACCACCACCCCCGCTCCCCGGGGCCCCAGACACCTTCCTTTGAACTGAATTATTGAATTCTCACCACATGGTGTCCCCACGACCAGATCTGACCCTCCCATTTTTTTCCCCACAGATTTGAAAAATATGAAGTAAATTCTCTTTTCAAGTGTGATTTGGAGGCATCAGAACAGAAGCCAGTATTTCAGTGGCAGATGGGCATTAAGACCTAGCTTAAAATGGATGGCCTTGATGATCTTAAAGTCTATTCAGAAAACTTGTTATTCCCTGATAGAGCTTACAGTTATCCAGCCAGATACTTTATTTTAGAGGGGAAATAAGGCAATTCTGATGGTCATAGAAAAAAAGTAGACAGCCTCCCTGGTTTTGAGAGGATTTCCAAATTTCTGGCGTCCTGATTCATTCCACAGATGTCAATCTAGCATCTCCCATCATTGCCAAGGAGGAAAGGAAGCCCCCCAGTGCCCCTTGAGATGTGACCCATGAAAGCTGGTGCTTTGAGAGTCATGAGGCCCTGAACGCCCTCTGGTCTCCACTTAACCTTTATTGCTTGAATTTCCCCATCCTCCCTTTCTCCTGACCCTTCATGTAATCTCTTCAAACACCTCCTTCTAACTTTTTTCTTTTCCTAATTGGCTACATATGGAATAAAGTTTTTTGAATTTTTTGGTTATATTTATTAAATAAAGCTTTATGATCCTTGTTCATTATTTAATTTTTTGCTGATTATAAAATTCACGCTAGTTGTAAAAATTCCAACAGTGCAAAAATGTGTTAGGCACACACTTTTCATTTCCTAAAGAGCCACACTACATCCAGCCATCAGGTACCACGGTTGCTTCAGGAGGTGTGGGAGCACATTTCTTCTATGTACGTGGAAATGTTGTAAAACTAGGGACATGCTTCACATGTTCTCTTACAACTTGCTTTTAGCATTTGACCACGTGACATTCTTTCTTACCTGACAGAGCTGCCTCACTCATTTTAGCTGCTCCATCATAGTATTTTCATTTTGTGGCTATACCGTCATCTATGTAACTTCTCCATCAGTGGCTGTTTGGTTGTTTCCAGCTTCTCACTGTTGCAAGCAGTGCTTCAACATAGATTCTTGTACATATAGCCGTGCAGTTATGGAGATTTTGAATGTACCTGTTTATATGAGGTAAAGTCCTAGAAGTGCTGTTGCTGGGTCAAAGGGCACGCATATTTCAATTGGGAGATATAGCTAAATTGCCACCGAGTACGGCTAACTCCAGCCCGTCACTGTACATTCCCAGCGCAGTGAGAGAGTGCTAGCGGTCCGTGGCCACCTCAACACGGCACATCAGCATTCAGTTTAGTCTCGGTTCTTCATTTTACAGAGAGGTGAATGGCTTGCATCCCTCTATTTCTTCTTTCTTCCTCCCTCCCTCCCTCCCTCTCTCTCTCCCTCTCTTTCTTTCCTTCTTTCCTTCTTTCTTTCTTTCTTTTCTTTTTTCTTTTTCTTTCTTTCTTCCTTCCTCCCTTCCTTTCTTCCTTTCTTTCTTTCTCTTTCTTTTCTTTCTTTCTTTCTCTTTCTTCTTTCTCCCAGCACATGCAGCATGTGGATCCCAGCTCCCTGACCAGGGAGCTAACCCGTGCCCTTGCAGTGGAAGCTCGGAGTCCCAACCATTGGGCTGCCAGTGAAGTCCCTCTATTTATTTTTAACATATCAGTAGGTTATTTTTTTTTAAACCCGTGGCCTTTGCTAAGGTGTTTCTGTGGCTGTGGATAGAAAGTATCCCCACCCAGACCAAGTTGGCCTCTCTCAGATTACAGCTCCTTCACTGTTTGTGTGTGACCTGTGCTTTCTGCTGCAGCCTCTCCCACGGTTCCAAAGAGTCAATAGGAGGTCCCCTTTCTTTCTGTTCATTCTCATTCCTTCAGCAGAATCCCTGAGCAGAGCACCCTACTGTGGGCATGTTCAGTGGCCTCCGTCCTCAAGCCCATTAAAACATTCTAATCCCCCAACTCAGTGCTTTGAAAACTGGCTTGTAATCCACAGTGAGAAAACCATTTTACATAGTTGTGACCTAGTGCATGTGCGCATGCAAACACACATACACACACACACACACACACACACACACACACTTTCATGAACCAGTACTTAACCCTTACTGCATTTTTTTATCCCACCATATTTAATCTATTTCATTAAAAAAAAAAAAAAAAGCTCAACCCATGATGAGTCATGACCTGCAGTGTGGAAACCACAGTTTGGATTCCCCTGCACTCCAGCCCCCTTCTGAGTGAGAGCCTTCCCCGGCTATGGGGGCGGGGGGCGCTTTACCAGTGTCCAGGAAAGCAAAGACAAGAGGCTAGGCTGGGACCCTGCAAGACTTCTGTTCAGATGCACCTCTGTCTGAGCTGCTGCATCTAAGGCCATGAGGGGACCAGGGTGGACCTTGGTGACCTGGGCAGGGGTGTGGGGGGTGGGGAGCTAGGACAGTGTACCTTTCTGGATGCCCAGAACCCTTTTCTCCAGGGACTGGGTATGGGGGGTGGCTGCCTCTTCTCCCTTCTGTCCTCTTCCCCTTCCTGTCGCTTCTCAGAGAGGGAGAGATGCCAGGGCTGGTAATAATAGCCGCTCACACGTCTACAGCATCTGTATCTTAGGCTCTGTTCTGAGCACTTTATGTGAATTAATTCAATTTAATACAACAAATCTATTATTGTTAGTCC